GCTTTCTCTTTGCGCCTTCTTCACGGAGGAACTTATCCTGGTCACAGTGCCACACTGCTGCTCTTTCCGGGGGATTAGTAACATTTATTCATTACGGCCTGTTTAAAAGTCACACAATCCTGATTATTACTGGCAATTTTAGCAGATGCACAAACCTGAGGCAACTGAACCTACCTTAGTATAAATGTGCTTATTTGGAAACCATAAAATACACATCAAAAATTCATATTCTGAAAAGTGGCACCACATCGAATCACATGCTGTTTTTATATGAGCTCAATAGTGTGAAAACATGTTCTCTGGTACCAGTGTAAATCAAATAAAAAATGCAAATGACAGAGAAAAGAACGGCTGATTGCTGAACTCGTGGTAATTTATCTCTAGAAAATACTGAATGACAGATCTGCATTTCAGGCACTTTCACTGTCAGGAGGAACGACAGTGTTGTGCTTAGGTGGCCCACTTTTCATTTGTGAATAGATTATGTGCTTTGAATTCATTTTTCAATGCTCAGACCGTTCATAATTAATAAGAAACTCTTCACCTTAAAGGATCAGACTTCTTCTTTTTAAAGTGAAAACAATTCTTTATGGATAACTGAATCAATGAAGTGAACATCAATTTATCTGAAATGATGCTAAAACCCCACCGGCACTCCCGCGTATGAGACGCATATTTTTTACAGACACAAAGCAGATCATTTTGCTGCAATATGTTAACATCTCTCCTTAAAAGTCTGACTTCTAGATTAGAAGGGTTTCATTGGACGATGTGAAGAATCTGATAAATACCTGGCTGACCTGGACTATACAAAATCTGTTTGGAGGTGGTATTTATATATAGACTCAACCTCCTATAACCCATTTCACTTCTGAATGGTTGCTATCCTTTAAGAGGAACAATAATAGTCACTGTCACTGTATTAGTTTTACAACACTGACAGTGAGACAGTCCATTCATCACCACAGCCTCCAGAGGAAGCCCTGTTACACGATGACCTGCTCCACAGCAGAAACACAGGAACTGTTTATAGGAACTTCACCCCAATATATAAATAGTCTGTCAGTCATTTAGTTGACACAATGACTGCAAACTACATGATTCATGAAGAACTGCATGCATATGCGCTAGTTATAGATAAGCAATCCTGGCCCATTTAGTCTCTGGCAGAAAATTGTAAAGCAATGTTTAAAACATGTTGTGCTTAAAAGGATGTAGGACAATGCAACTCCAAAATGCTGCGATGAAGGAAACAAAAAAGGGGCTGCATCAATGACCAATGGAAATGATCCATGTGCAGAATATTTGGCTTTAAATCAAGATATTTCCCCTGAATTATGAACTAATGTATTTGTATTAATAAGTTCCTAAATGTAATACATCATTTGTAAATTGGCAACCAGTGTGCTTTGACAGAATTGAAATTTTTCTCAATACTTTGTGACTTAACTACAATGTTTGTGGTTCTTATGTTACCCCAAGTCCACTAAAGACGCAACTCATCAAAAATGTATAGTTTAACTTTTAAAAAGTCTTATTCATTTACTCAAACAGCTGGTCATAAGTGGCAGTTATTAGTCAATGATACACAAACAGTATTAAACAATGCATTTTTGGGCACTATTTTCTGCTGTGGATTTATACACTCAAAGTTTCTACAGAAGCAGTTGATTAACTCAACGATAGTGCTGAAGGAAAATGTCCTTGAGGGCAACAGCAGGGCTCAGTGATGTGTTTTTAATAGTTTTCGTTTTTTTAATGGGATTTGTTGGCAACAACACAAATACAATATCAAGGAAAAAATCTCAATAACCTTATCCTTGAAATACAATTTTGCCTTGAATTATTTCACAGTGTAAAGTCAAAAGTTCCAACTTAGGAGTGCAAATCTGCTTTTGCTTTTGGCGGGGCTGCTTTATAGATTTTAGTGAGTGTTGGACAAGTGAATTACTGCAGAATTCTGCAAACCTTAATGATAAACTCTAACTTGAGTCATTGCAAAACCAATTTCACTCCAGGAGGAACAAAGGAAACTGAAAAAGAATAGAGCTGATGTAAAAGGATATAGCAAGGTGAGATTTGTGGCGGAAAGATAAGGATGAAACGTTCATAAATTATAAAGCATAAACGATATATGATAACTACCAGCTTCCTCGTGCTTTTCCCTTAAAGTGTCAAATCGATACCACCCTCGATTAGATGCAATTATGGACATTCTCACAGTATCACTTTTATGAGACAGACTGACAGTCCATCAATCAATAGGCTCTGGAGAAATCTACACGATACCCTCACACATTACAGCATTCCTTTGGCCATAGACAAATACAGGATGTAGCAAACGGAGATGTTTCTGCTGCTGATCTATTGTTGTGTTCAGCAGATTGTACAGGATTCTTGTAGGGGAATAACAACAAGCCGTGTATGCTCTGTGATTGAAAAAACAAACAAACCTGGACCTTTGTATAAAGAGGTCGTGCTACGTTCTGGAAACATGCTCAAAGAAAATTGTTGTAATGTAGTAGAAAAAAAAGTGAGGTATAAGGGAAGAAAATGTTCCAGACAAACTCATCTTTCCATAATCCCCTAGTCTCTGCGCTCCCATCCTTCTTTCCAACCTCCAATTACAAAGAAGAGAAATGCCCCGCTTTTTACTGCTCAGAAATACACAGGCTCTACATCAGAACTCAATTTGGTTTGGTAATGAGACTGCGCTTGTGCATTTCCCCATGCAGACAGCCCAATCTTCAATTGCCAGCACACATGGGGGCTTTGCTTAGCAGGAAGGCTCTGAGGAAATAGACTGGTGAAAGCGTTGCCTTTTTTCATTTGGAGGAAACTTTAAGCTCACCTTGTGTAGTCTTTTCAAAATGACCTTGAGAAATTTCAAAGGACAAGCTTACCTTTTAAATAAGGCTTTGAGTGTGTTTTGATATGGGTCCCAGCATTATTTCAAGTGATGTGAACAAAGACTTTATAGACCCCCAGTCAAGGCGTTACACTTCCAAGAGTTTCCTCTTTTTGCATGCAGCTATTCACAGTGCAGAGCTTCAGTGGTTTGCTATTATGTAAAATCAATGTATGTTTATACAAGTCTTTTACTCAACGTGATCCATAGTACATATGCTCTCATTACTTGTGTAATACTATTCACATTTGCTTTACTGCAGTCTGTACCTTTCAGGCAGCCATTTTTAACAATTTCACCACAGAATGAAAATCTACTGGCTCTCCCTAGGGACTGTGAACTGGTGCAGACTTCATATTATATGATTCACATCATACCAAAAACACGTTTGCTTATCACACGCATCAAAGTCTGATATCCGAATGTGGAGGCTTTCTGGCATTAACCTTTGGATTTTTTTACTTTTCATTTTACCCCATCTGAAGATAAGGTATCATTTCATAACTTCCTCCATGTGTCTTTTTTAAATACAAGATGGTGTAAATATGCAATTAGTTTGACAGGAGAACATTTCTAATGCACAGCAGTCAAAAATAGTACCAGTTAGAGCAAGTGATGGATAGATTTGTCACAGCAAATGGAGCTCAACGCTGACGTATCTCAGCACTCAATACAGTAAAACCTGAGCTAAAATGTGTCTGTACGTGTACACGGAAAGGTGCTAAGCTTACAGACTTTTGTGGACAGGAACATCTAGCTGTCCCGTAATAGAATGCCTCAGCCATGGGACAAAACTGTCAAAAGTTGCAAAGGTGACATCTTGAGACAAAACACTCCTCTTTATAGCAGCAAAGATACTTCCATAAAACACCTACAATGTATTTAGGTTAATTTACTTTTGAACAGAACTAAAGTAATTCATTCAACCAATTATCATAATTCATTGATAGATTCATTAATTGTTTTGTTTAATATTTATGTTACGGCTGCTGCCTTCCTGGTCGTCTGAGTGTTTTCAGCTGTGTGTGTTCTATGTAAATGAGCTGTGCGGTTGCCCTCCCGGCATTGGCTGCCATCTCCTGGTCCGCCCCTGAAGATTGCGATTGGAGCACGCCGGGCCCGACGCACTCCAATCGCAGCGCACAGCTGGCGCACAACTGCTGGAGATTATTACAAAGCTTGGGGACAATCATCATTCTGGAGGCTCTGTATGTGGACAGATGCCTCTCGCTACTTGCTCTGTGTTCTGGGGTTAAAACTTGTGTGATTAGTAGTGTCTAGAGTAGATTAGTTAGAGTGTAGAGTAGCTTAGTTAGTGTTTAGAGTAGTTAGGATTCTGTGACGGTTGCCTTTAGTTTAGCTGTGTTTTTGTATAGATTCTTTGTGTTAGTTGTACCACTTTTAGAGTGAGGTTTTGTTTCGTTCTTTATTTAGTGTGATAGTGTTATATTAGTATTTATTTTCCCTGTATGTCTTTAGACTCCTTTCTTAGAGTCCTCCTTTTGTTTGGTTATTTGTCAACCGGTGCCCTTTTGGCCCTTTTGTTTGTTTCAGGCTGCTTGCCTGCCATTTTGTTTACCAGCTATTTTAAATAAACGCTTATAATTTATACCAATTCCACTCTGGTCGTGTTATTTCCCTTTGGTTCCCCTAGCCCAATAGGGAACGTAACAATTTATCAGCGAATGGCCTTGTTTTTGGCTTGAAGGTATGTGGGCCAAAGAATATCTATAGTTTTAAAGAGGAAAGGGAATCTTTATGAAAACTACATACCGAGCCATACCAAGGATGCTTATCAACTTTTAATACAAGCAAGTAGAATTTAATATTATTCTGATATGAATGGAAATCAATGGTACCAACATTGTTGCAAACATAATTATGGGACGCATTTAAGTTAATTAAATACAAATTGTCAAAGTTTCCTGCTTGCCCTAATTATTCCAGCACATGTCCCTGAATACCTTACCTCTTCTTGTAAAATAGTGAGACTCATCCAGATTCTCATTAAGGGGATTAAAACCTGTCTGATATACTCGCAGTTAAAGTCACAGCCATACTTTTCAGTGTGTGCAAAAAGGATTGGACTTACATAGTCGTCGTATGACTCATGTGTGACTGCTAACAGCAAGGGTCTGTATCCTGCGCTCCCTGCTGCCCCCCTGGCTCTCGGGGCTTGTACCTCCCTCGTGAGAACAGTCGTGGGTAGTTTGCCGTGCGTCGCTGCTGCTGTCCCCCGAGGTGCTGCTGCACTCCTCCCTGTGCCTCTGTGGCCCCTGGGAAAGCGTCAAACAGACAAATATTTGCCTTAAGAGTCCTCACCCCATAACATGTTATGCAGTGATTTAAGTGAAAAGTGGGGTTAAGACATTAGGGAAGTTGTTCATTCCCTTTTATCGCTGCATATGTGCATGCTGCCTCAGTAGGTGGCTGCAGTACAGTCTGCACGGGTGAAACACAAGATAAGCATAACCTCTGCTGGCACTGAGGTAGATCTTGTAATGATCAGAGGGCTCAAGAGTGTCACTTTGTGTCTCTCTCAGCTTGTCAAACATGCCTGTGGGATGCAGCGTGCTTATTTCAATAACACGGTGGAGCAGTGCCGAGTCTTTGTACAAAATCACACCTCCATCTGCCTGAAGCTGCACAACATTGTAGAATTACAAAGACCTATTGAGCACGGTCCAGAAAAGAGACTTTAGAAGCCAAAGGACATGGGCAGGCAGGAGCATTTAAGGTGGATTGTTTCTTTTAAGGGGGGGTATGACTGTCCAGTAGCAGAACCACAGAAAACACTGCAGGGATTGAAGGGTGGGTTTAGCATTGCTAATCTGTCTATTGTCCGCTAATTTCACATTTTTAGCAGCGGCATGATGTAGGTGGGCTAGGATACCCTTTCCTCCTCTGGCACATCCTTCACTAGGTAGCAGCCCATTGTGATCCAAAAATACATCCAGTCAAAGGGGAATTACTGGTGCATATTTTTCATGGAGATTAACAATAATTGCTTATCGTTGTGCTATAAGGAGAAAATCTAGGTAGGGAAGTGGTGGTGGTGACGTTAAATTGTTAGCGTCAGGATTTAGCTCATTTATGCTACCTGAAATTAAGCCAGGTTTTCATTGCACACCGTACCTGGTTACTCCTTAGGGACCACCACAGCAAAGGTAGATTACGGACAATTTGCTCTAAAAACAAATTTTAGAGGAGACTTGAACAGGCCGACGTTTCATACGAGCAGCTGCATGCATGGCTAAGCCGATCAAATGTTCTCTGACACTAAGTTATTTATGTAGCTGCTCCTGTCTGTATCCTAAAATCCCCATGAGCTACATTAGAGGATGTGGAAATCAACTCAAGACACAACTCGAAAAAAACATTAGTAAAGGATAAAACTTTTAAAAAACGAATTACAACCTGATCAAGTTTTGACGAACCATTAAATTCACCATAAAGCTGGCCAATTCCTTTTTCATTTTTTACGGTTGAGTTTTAGTATGCATCATATTGCTTGCTACACATATAAGCTGCTAGAGGTTGACATCTTTTAGGTGATGCATCAAAGAAACACATGAAAATGATTTACTCATGATGAGGATACTGCTCAGCCATTTATAACAGTCATATCATTATTCACAAGTAATATATACGCTCAACGGAGCCCCCCCACCTAAGTGTATTATCACTTATTAATCTCATAATATATTTCTGCATGACAATGCGAAAATAAGAGTCCTCAAAGGGGGATGGGGGATAAGACAAACTGCAGTTAACACAGCTGTCATCCTTGTGAAAATGACTGACCGGGAACAACATGTGACTGTCTTAACAATGAACTTAGTCTCTGATGTGTCCCATGGCTCATTGTTCCCAACACGGGCTAACAAGAAAATGGGCCTAGAGACGTGTTGATTTAAGCCCGGGCGATGCGTCTGAGCAGACCAACCCCCACCTGTCACTCAAAGTGGCCACGTCCTTAACTAGGCATAACTCCTAGCCTTTATATAATTTAAACAGTCGAGATATAAAAATGAGGGTCTGTACGGATTTCCAATTTTGAATTTAGCTGTAGATACCAGCCTGATAACATGTTTATATCTGCTCAAAAGTCTTAGTATTTTACCATGGGGTGTGTTGGGATTGATTTGATGTTGGAGCCAGCCTCAAGCACCAATGGTTGCCGCTTAGGTAAACAGTGTTAAAACGAGCTCTCTAAAGTTAAATAAAACCCCCCGGACAATGGAGAAAACCCATGTATGCTCACCATTATGTACATATTAACATATTGAAGACAAATTCTTAACCTAACAGTAAAGAAATATTGAGTGTACATTTATTTTTCTTTCACACCGCAGTATTATAGTGCTTTACCCTGTGGATATGGTGGCTGACGGTCGTGCACTCCTCACCGGCGCGCTCCTGCCTCGGCTCGACTCTTCGGAGCCGTTCAGCAGCGAGAGCTCTCTCAGCTGCTCCTGTCTGATCTCGTCATTGTAGTCCTGCGGGAAACAAAACACAGCAAGTCACATTTGTTTTCTGACTGCAACAGATGCTCGCAACAGCAGCAAATGTCATCTAATCAAAATTATCTTGACACGCACATAGGAAACACATGGTGTTGCTTAGTGTTGAATACTCAATGAAGAATATTTCCTTTTGGTTATGTTTGGACACAGCATGCTGGGAAGAGATAAGTATTGTAGGAAAAATCTATGTTCCTAAAAGAGCCTTGGATTCATTGTTAGCAGCAGTGAGTGGAAAAACTGTTTTTTTGTTAAAAAATTTGCAGAACTTTGAGTTTTTGACAACAAATTGCCTTCTGGAAGGATGGGAGAAGAAATGGAAGAAATAACCAAGAAAATCATAACTTGATACCAAAACCTGGATGTTACAACAACATAAAAATATGAATTTAATATAAAAAACCTACTCCAAAGCAACAACAAAAACACACCTTATTTTGTTAAAAACCACTTTGTGTGAAATCTTGTTTTGTGAGTCTTTATTTTTCTGAACCTGTTATCAAACATGATACGGATTATTACGCATCAGATAAGGGAGTGGACAAAGCAATATTCATTATCTTGTCACTGCTGACAGATAAACGTGCGTATTTCTCAGAAAGCACACCCACCTAGAATGTGGAGTATCGGACAACATATGTTTCTAATGACAGCAAAACAACAGAGGCAGCAAAGGCTTTCTTTGGTCTTCAGTGGGTTTGACAGACACATTTTGTAACTTTTGTTGGGTCTTAGTGACTGAATGACTGGTTGCCACACACCAAAAAACCTACGCCATCCAGAACACACACAGAGGTTATTACAAACAAAGCTGGAATGACAACATAGACCAAGTCTGCAAAATATATTTCCAGAAAAGACAGTTACAATTGACTTAGAGTTGGAAATCTAATCTATAATGATATTCTGAGTTGTGTCACCTTTTTTTCCCTAAGTTCTTATTTCATGACATTTATTTTAATGTGTTGTAAGTTCATCAACACGACACTCATTAATGAGTGTTTTCACACTGAGTTTGACAGTTTTGACACTTAATGTTACCAGACACAAGCCTATTATTAGTTAAAAGTTATTCAGTGTGAATGGGAAACATTGTGAAACTGATTTATTGTCCAATCGTGTGAAAGGAAAAATAACTCATTATCAGAAAGTAGTCTGGTGACTTTAACATCCAAATGTGCAATCACGCTCTTCGTCAGCTCGAAAATGTCTTTCAGCATAAAGTCATTAATGTTTGACTTTTCTTATTATTTGTATTATTTTTCCTTTTTTTCACCTTATGTTTGAGGAACACTATGCAGAATGAGCTTCAGTTTAAAAATTGACATCGTAGCTATAGTTTAGTAGCCAATAGTTGTTTAATATGCAACTTATACAAGTGTGGTCTTGAAACTTCCTCCAGTGTCCATATAGTGAGGATGGCCTTTACAATGAAGTGAAATATCACTGTATCCACCGGTATAATTCTTTGGGTTTTTTGACCGATATAACGGTGTGGAGCCATGTTTTGTTGTGTGTACTCTGCACTAACAGGTTGTGAGGAAGAAGCCTGCAAGCCGGTATACAGTACAAAGAGGTTATCACTGCAGACTTTGCAAATGTTTTACAAGGAAGAAAACACACTCGTTTGTTTAAACAAATGTAAAGCTTTAGTGAGTAACACTGAATGAAAAAAACAAACGTTGCTTGTTTACAAGAACACTCCACAGGGACCCTTAGAACGTTGCATATTCATAGATAACGCAACGTTTTAATGAAGGAGAAGGAGTACATGATCTTGTTAAAAAATAGACACACATTTTTCTGTACATGGCTAAATAATAACAACATTTCACCTATTTGGACCTTCAACCTCTCGTTTAGAAAAAGTATGGGTTTCAATTCATTGTGGTGCTTGGTGGCAGCTTGATATTCTAGAGGTTCAATGATGCCAGATTAGTGGAATGAATATTTTGAATATTAAATGAAATGACATGCAGCATTAATCTCCAGAGCATTAATTTCTCCTTCTCTCCCATTTATTTCTCATGCTTTAACATCGAGACAGCCTATGTTTAACATAGAAACATAACGATATGTTTCGAGCACGTCTGAAGGCCACAGTACGGTGGTTTAGCCGTAGACTAGATCCTCAGTGCCTTGTGTTTTGCTCTCTGATGCCATCACCCCATCTTTTCTTGACTATCAGCTTTTCTGTAGGACTTAACGTTTCTGCCGGAATGAACCATGGACGTCAGAGTGTACTGCGTTTATCATAACCCTTACTACATCACCAATGCCCAAGAAATATATCTGTACACGTTTCACATACAAATTTCGGTCACGTTTTCCCATCTCTCCATTTACGTCAATGTGATATTAGTCAAATTGGGGACATATGAAGAACAGATTTTGACTCCCTCATGTCACAGAGGAAGAAAAAGCATCTGGTGATTTCCAAAACACTTGACACCTGGCACACATAGCTTCTCTTGTTAATGAATTAATAAGTCCTACAGCGTTGTGCTGGTTTGAAGGAGACTGGCAGGACATTTAATTGGAAAGCTGGCAGCTTATTCAAAGCACAACAAACATGCCAGAGCTTGTAAAAGTTTACTGTTGACAGAGGCGTTAGCATGAGTACACAGAGATAAATCGCATGCTGAGGCTTCTCAGGTCAGACTGTTTGCTCACTCAGATTAATTCTGACCATGCGTGACCTTGGACACACACACACTGCCCTTCACAGAGCTATAGTTAGACTTGAAGGGGTCGGCACAGTACGTGGCGATACCGATCTCTCTCGTGTTTGGGTCTACCTGCGACATGTCTCTGTTGCCGGCTGTGTTGATTGATTTCTTGCCTTGCTCATTTTTTATCTAGCCTCTATCGCTGTGATATGAGTCTGGTGGCTTATGGATAATTTATGAAAGAACTCCTCCTACATCCTCCTGGACATTTTTCTGGCAAAAACACCAGAAATGTTGGATAATCAATCTCAGTAGATCTTTAATTCAAAAAGATGGTGATCTCCTCTGAGACCTTGAGGGAATCTAGTAATGTCATTTTGCTGAGTAAATATAATGTTCCAAGAGAAACAAATGATGAAAGACAAGCAAAGACAGCACATCAATCCCATCAGCTTTTGGAAAAAGTCTTCCAGCCTTTGTTGGATTAAGGATATTGTTCAATCAAGGGGGATCCACATTATGACTATATTGAGAGAACTATTATAATATACTAAGATGTCTGATTTATACACGTCAGTAGATGCATTGCTTCTAATAATTCAGTGCTAATATACATATTCAGAGATACAGATTCATGGCACCCAGGCCTGCGAATGAGCTGTTTTCCATCAGCTAACACAATCTGAAGTGAGATATGTCTAATTTTTAGATCAGCTGATGAAGACGCTCTTATAAAGGGTTGTGTCTGCATAGCTGGATAGGCAGAATTTAAGTGTGTGATACTTGGGTCAATCTGCAGGGCTGGCCAAACTCATATTTGCAGGAATGGCAACCTCCAACCGTGAGTTTTTTTTCAGTCCATGTCACCTGTGTCAATGTCCACATAGCCACAAATAGTTGCTGACTTATATAAAATCAGTGAGAACGAAGACTTTAAGAAAGACCTGTGTACACAGTAGTGAGCAGATTGTTTTCTAGGATGTAATAGGATCAGATTATTTTTATTTCGTATGCGTACATTCCTACAGGGCACAGTCTTGTAAGATTTGTTTTCCAGCTGAATAAAAGTCTGAAAAACCATTAGAGAACATGCTGTCCTGCGTAACAACCTTGTGAAAAATGTTCTTATCTTCCCAAAGCACATCAGGCCCGTTGATCCAGCGGCACAGAAGCAGCTGCAGCAACAGCTGTTTATCTGCATTTTGATATATTGCTTGTTAAATTCTGTACTGTATATCCATATGTTTTTCCGCATGAGCTGCTCATTTATGCTCCTAACAAAAGCACTGGTTGAAAGCCTGGACTTCTGATACCAAAAGTTTTAATTTGTTAGTATAATTTAGGGCTTATACTTGTATGTTTCACTTTATTGTGCTGCTTCGTAATTCAGGGTTGATACCGATTGCAGAATCTGTGCTACTATCAATGTCCTGATGCAGCAAAGAATAAGTGAACTACCACTGCACCGGAGAATTGCACATCTGCATAATATAGTGCGCTATTAAAGGACAAAAGTTGCTACCATTGCAAAATAAAAAGTATTTGAAAGTTAGCTCAACGTCCATTGCACTTCCTTCATTTCCACAGTAAATTGGCCAGGTATTGTTAGGAGCACCTGCTGTCTGGGTCTTTGCTGAAGGTAATAATGCAGATGACTGAAAAGAAGTGGTTGCCCCGGCAACATCGGGCAAGTCCTCTGTCTCTTTATGTGGGATCATATGGAACAAATAGATTAAACGTAATTCCGTTTTAATAGCCTGTTCATTTTTGTTTGACGTCATGTTTGACTTATGCAAAAACAAATTACCCTCACATATCTTCTTCAAGCATCTGTGTCACCCTCTGTCTGCCAAAATCCAGTCTGGCCTGCGATGAAGGCCACACACTCATCCAGCTGACAGCAGGAGCTCCTCTCCTCCTTCTCGCTTCTCTCAGCGTGTTTATACAGCATTGCACTGATCAGGTTCCTGTTTGCACTTTTTCCAGGGTGCATAACTGTGAGCTGACAGCACTGACAGCACTTCTCTAGTCAGATTTAGCTTGACGGCAGATCTGAGGGCTCGGTTTAGACAACCTTCTTTTCCTCAGTTGCTTCAACGATTGATACAACTCACAGTCAGACAAACTGTGGTCCTTGGCGGCCTGTGTGTGCTATTTCTGCATACATTCACCAAAAATATGGCAATGGTGCCTGTGAAATTGGAAATGGTCACACAGCTTGTTCATGTAATAGTGTGTTCCTTTTTCAATAATTGTGAATATCAGAATACATGTGTAGAAAGGGCATAAGAATTAATTAAACATTTAACAAGTTATTCCCTGTTTTGTAGATACACTGGGAAGCACGTTTTGTTAAAAACCAAGACATTTATTCTCAGATTTTTACATTAAAAGATTGTTTCTTTGCCTAGAAGACGGAGCACATTTGAGTTTTTGTTGGAGAGAGGTGTAGCAGTGAGCTCACTTCAGCTCTCTGGCTCTGGCACATACTTAGATTATAGCTGCCACCAGCGGTGTAAGTCACTTAACTAAACATGTGGCGCTGTGGGAGACGGCTCCATGTCTCTGTGATCCTGCATGCTGCATCAGTCTGAGTTGAGTTGGGTTTTTGAAGCATAATGTCGCACAAGCAGGGGTATATTGGCTACTGGAGCAGTGCTAGTTTTCCTGGTGGGCCGTCAGAGAAAAGCAATAGTGTTGCACACCAGCTGTCTCGAATCAGGCATGTTTGTAGCTGGATCATAAATTCAGTCAATCTTTCCTCCTGGGCCAAATTGTATTTGGTGCATTCTACATTTTACATGCTGAGCTGACAAAAACTGATTTTAAAAAAGGAGTCTGTCCTGGAATTTCTCTAACATTGTTAAACTCAAGATAGACAGTTTAAACAAATTGCATCAAACGCATTCTTCCTCTTTGTCAGACCAGGTGCTGACATATCCACAATGCAACACTGTAGCTGACAGTTTGAGATCTGGGTGTGTAGAAGCAACTGAAAGTTAACAATTTAAACACCTTCAGAGTTTTTTCATTCTCAAACTTGGTCTTGTATTTAAACCAATTACCACATTGGGTTCATTTCTCAGACTTTACACTGGACCTCCTGGAGCTAAAGGTTTTATACATATGCAGTAGTACTCCCCAACCCCAGTAAACCGACTTTGATGTGTTAAATCGATGTAGTCCCCCTTAAGTTAATCAAATCCGATAAACTAATTAACATTTTTGCTGCCTTTTGGAAGTATGAGAATTTAAAAATTGAATTAACAACAGTAACAAGTTATCAAACCCAAGCTGATTATTTTCGACCAAACTAATGCCCAATAGCAATTCACTAGAAGTTGCATTCTGAAAACAGTAAAAGTCTCTGTTAATACACAGCGAAGTAATAACAACAAGATAAACAGCAGCGCACATTTGCCACTCTCCACCAGAGGCAGGAAACATCTGTTACTATGGATACTGACAGATGCCTTTTGTGTTACATTATGCAGTTTATTGGCAAAACTATAAGACCCCTGAGGCAGCATGCATGTGCTATAAAATATAATGTTTGGTCTTTATTTTTCTGGCATAAACATGACAAGTGGACTTAAGGGAAAGTGTGTTCATATTTTCTAACTTCACATTATATGTTTCATCAATACAAATAAATTATATATGTTTAGTATTCATTTACTAATATATACAATTAGCATGTATTATTTTAGTTTGGAATATCATTTATAATAATGGCAACTGTATTGGAGGTTTTAGTGTTCACTGCTGGAACTAAATGGTTCCCTGCAAATATAGCAAACAGTCCCTTCTCATGCACAGTTATCATTTTCAGCTCTTATGTTACTTAGTTAAACCTTATTGATTTGCTCTCTTCCTACAGTCCCACTGCATCATTCATTATTTCTGTTGGCAGGTTTACACAAAAGACTCAAACTTGTCTGGCCTTAATGGTTTTACACTTGTATGCATTACAGCCAACGCTATGTATAAACTATTTAGAAAACACACTGTACTGTTATTATAATAATTTAGAATACACAGTACCTCCTCTTTAACTACTGCAATGATGCAAGAGCTGAGACTCTGCCAGTAATATATTTATTTTCTTGGAAATATAGTGATAGTAAAGCATTGTGTTTACTGCACTTTATACAGTGACCCCAGCTAACGATAAACGAAAGCTCCTGCTGATCTGACCCTTTTTTTTTTACCACAACAACCTGGTGTGGATGGCACAATGCAAATCACATCAGAGCACAAATGGGTTGTGAAGCAAATGAGCATTTCTGAGAAAATGTACGCCTGGTGTGCATTTACAGCACCAAACTGCTGAATGTTATCTCGGCAGAGGGTTGCTCAAAGCTTGTTTTACCGTACTATTGAGCACAGTAACGGTTCCGAAATGTGCTCTGAATGCATAACTAATTTTTCAGCAGGGGCCAGTTCTGTTTTTAAGGCCCGACTTCTCATCACAACTGTTTGCACCTCCAGTCAAAGAGGCTCATGAGCTGCTGTGAGGAGGGACAGGAGGGCATCCAAAGCTACATTAAATATGTTTAACAAGACCTCCTATGAAATATACCCAATTCTTCCAAATCTGTATTAAAGGTCTCCAATATGCTATTTTTAGGCATATATTATGGGTCTCAGATATACAAAAAAATATATAAAAAACATGTCTATGATGTGTTTTGCTCCAAACAGATCATGCATTTTAGACATCCCTCATATCCCTCTTAAGCCCTGTTAGAGAATGGCTGATCTGGGTCCTTAGCTTGAAAAAAAAAGAAAAGAGGAGGAGGTTTACCAGAAGGTGAGTTCCTTTTTATTTCCTGCTTTTTTACACACACTCTCTCCAGTACAGGTTAGCTGTGAGTGTTAGCGATGCTTGCTAATGTAAACAAAGACCATATTACGTCCAAAACACGTCGCGCATTGTTTCTGATAGCAACGTTTCTGATCCACACACATTTCTGATATGACGTCATATCGGACGCAAATCTGGATGAGCTCCATTGTACCCCTGTTTTTAGAGATTTGGGTACGGAGGAAAAGAGAGAGGATTTTGTTTTCTGACACTTTGTGAGTTCCCTGGCACACAGGGGACACGTATTTATATATAAAATACATCAAAAAGTGCATTTTGCATGATAGGTCCCCTTTAAGGAAGGAAATACATGCACCACATTCAAGGTGAAGTTTAGCATTAAGCAGTGTGCCCAGTTAGGGAAACGGCACCTCTTAAAGTGTCAGTCTGGTCTTGAACTGATCCGGGAATTTAACCGGCAACCTTCAGGTACCAGACCAAAGTCTGAACCCAAGGTATGTCTAGTTTTTGCATGTAGTATTTTCTCTGAAAGTCTAACACAGAAACATCACGAGCAGCTTACTAGCTATACCCGTTTTTTTTCTGCAGACTGTAATTTGTACAATGAAGATGCAGCATCATCCTACTGGCCCGGCGAGCAGAAATGCTTGTAAGAACAAGGTTTCGGAATAGGAAGAAACAACAACAAGTAGACTCATGTAGCACAACTCCTCTATAAGGCTTGTCACATTAGCAAAGCTTGATTAATATTTGCAGCTTAGACTCAGCAAGAGTACACAACATGCACATTAATTATTGCTCAGTTCTCCGGGCTATAAGTTGCCAGAGTCTTGCAAGTATTTTCATACTGCACATTAATTGCTGAATACATTAGTTTTCATTTGTAAGTAAGAGCATGAAGTGTAGGGAAGTGGCTGTAAAGCGGAGAAAGTGCTTATCGAACCCTTATAATAATAAACCCTGCATACTGTAAACTCTTGGAGAAACAATCATGTCAGCAGTAATAACGGATTTTCATATACTGCACACTAATGAAAAATAGGAGGGGGAAATAAGGTGAAGTATTAAACTTACTGGAACTAGGAATTTCTTTATCTCTTCCAAGGCGTGACTCATGCGCGAATAGGCCTCTCCAGGTGGAGCAAAGACTTCAATTAAAACGTGTAGATCATTACTCAGATGGGCGTACTTGGCCTCCTCGCTTTTCCTTAATTCTTCTTCCTGTGAAAAAACAAAAAAGTAAGTAAAATATGTGTACAGATAAAATAGAAACCCAATATGCATTTCGAGGCTGTTTGGGTTCGTGGTAGTAATTACAATATTGCACACCATTTGGATTTTGGAATCGGTTTTTTATATTGTATTGCATATTGAATAAAACAAAGCCAGTAGTCTATGCTGATGAATCATTATGAACTGTTGATTATATCTTCCAGTATGTGTGTACAACAAATATGATGGATAACACATATTTTCCCATGTTCTTTAATTACTCGAAATAGGAGTGCATTTTGACTTGTTTTGGGCTTGAAATTCAAAGTTTAGGAATTAGGCCTAGCCTGACTTTACTTGAGACTTGACTTGGGACGAGTGCAAAGTGAATTGGATACTTCACCAGTTACCAGATTGTTTACACATTTCATGGCAATCCATTCAAAATTGGTCGGGCCAAAAACTTGCTAGCCTGGTTAAACATTTGTATTGAGCCACAAAATATTCCTGCTGTACAATCATTTTGAAAATAAAGATGTTTTGCTATGAGACACAACACAACCTCGTTTTCCTCCTTTCATTACAAACATTTATTACACTGACATGCTTTAACCAACAGTAACTTTTTGATTTAGTTTCAAGTCAAGGAGACACTTGAGGAATCACTACTTTCATCACTGTAGTACCCACACAAAAACATCTCTGAATGATATGTGGCCTTTTCTTCACTTGCGTAAGGAATATGTCAACTTCCAAAGAATAATTACTGCTCATCTGACAGCTACACTAAAATAACGTGACAAGAATAACGGAGAAATAGTACAGCTCAGTCACATATTTGGCACTAGGGATGCTGTTAGTAAACGTGTTTTTTTTTTCCTTCTAGAAATTGCATTTGGTGATTCTTTGTCAAGAAAGCTCTGCAGGCTCGGCTCCAAAACAGCTCGGGGAAATGTTTAAATGGATTGACATCCTGTGCCTGAGACATGGCATATAGTTCATGTCATCTTGATGGACAGTAAATGATGAATTTGTGACCATTTGTGCCAAGTGGATGTGGGGAAAAAAATCAAGGAACACGACAGAAATAATTCCCTCTGAAAAGGAAAATGTACACATCATGAGCAGGCTGATTATCTTTGGGCATTTCGTTTTCAGACAGCAAGGCAAAAAGAAAGATTAACGAGGTAACGAGGCGCAGCTGGGGAGGCAGCAGGCTGATTAGCAGATGAAGGACAGGTGTGCCAGGGAGTAAAACACACAGGGGATGCCTGGTGGACAGGTGAGGCATGACACGTGTGATCAATAAAACAACAGACACACACACACACACACACACACAGGGAAATGATGCAGGCACCTCCATGACGAAGACAAACAATAGGTGCCATGGGATTTCTGTCTCTACATTATTGTCAGATTACTCCCTTTACATCCCGGGAACATTAGATTTGGAAAGAAAACTGGCCTCTTTCTCTCATCAGAAATAATGTTGTCACCATGAATGGCATTAAAAAAAAACAAGATATTTCATAAAGATCAAATTAAAACAAAAGACACTTTACTGTGTTTCAATGTATTTCTGGCTGGTTAAATGCCTGATGCTAATTCTAGCCCCTTTGTGTTCACTTCAACTCCACACTATCAGTTAAACAAATCCTTAAAGCAAAATAGTTCCACAGGATAAATGAAGTAGGGGCCGGGAGGAATAAATTAGGAATGCAGAGAGGTGTTCAATTTGGATAGGGGGCTTTGATTTAAAGAAAGTCTACCAGAAAGCACTGAAGTGAGGAAAGATGTCAATCCATGCTCCTAATGCAAACTGTTCAGAAGTCTGATGGCAAGAAAAGCCCAATCACTTAGTGATTCAGTATTAGTCTTAACGGAGTCCCAGAGGGGCCCCTGCCTGAGGCTCACACTAACTTTAACGGATTAAAGGATCTGTTATCTCGGGGCCAGTCCTTACTATGTTTTAAAGAGATCAGTTGAATCATGAACTTTTTGTTGTGCAAATAATAGGAAGTGATGTCAGACCTTGTGGGTACGTTTTGTCATCTTGTATTAGTTGCAAAAGCTGCTGCTACTTAATTAACAATTTAGGGATTATTCATAATGCCAAAATACTTTTTGTTGGAACCTTTGTGTATTCATACTGCACTGCAACAATTGGGTGTTGAGTGTTTAGCTCAAGGACACCTTGATGGTGGCTGTTAAGAGAAGCTAGAGAGCCACTCACCAAGCCAATCTGGGGATTCAAACTGTTGTCCTTGCATCAGAAGGCTGTTATCTACCCTAGAGGAGAAATCAGCTTTAATTAAAAATCACTCCTACAATTTCATCAGGCTTCCCATTCAATGTCAGAGAGCTTATGTCATCATGGATCAGATCAAAACATGCATGTGGGCGGATGATCGTGTCCCCAAGTTGTTTCAATAGTTTGTCACTGGAATGTTCTGGAGAGTTTTACAGACAGGGCAGCACACTGAGATATACACAAGTAACCATGACTGCAATATGCCTGTATTAAACCCATCAATACTTTATGTTTGCACTTCTACAAGGAACTGAAGAATCTCTCTGACCTTGCCGTGTTTGCTTGCAGCGGTGTTCAAAGAGGACTCTCAGCCTCTACACACACCATATTAACCAATATAGTGCACAAGGTGTTATATTGACCATATGGTCCATTATGTGTTGGTGGGCTGTTATGATGCGAAATTTCCCAACATGAAAAATCTACAATACCCTACAGCTAGACAGATGCGCCCAACTGACGAACAGGATGAGATGGCAGAAATGTGTGATGACAACTTTTGCTTGTTGTGAGACTTTTGCTGTGTCTGTCCCACACTGTGACCAGCTGCCTGGAGTGACAGGCAGACGTTCAGTCACGACCTTTAGGTGTCAGTCTCATCACAGAGTCCTTCAGACTTGCCCAGACTGTACACAAAATCGATATGGCACACAGGAAACACCGAGCTAAGGCAGATCGTTACAAAGCTGACCAGTAAGACACTGTTTGGGATCTATTATTTTCCTTTGTGCTGCACAACGCTCCGTGAATCTGACTCAGACTGAATCTCCAGGTGAAACAAGCAGTACGCCATATTACTCATACTGGCACTGAGTGATGACTCACAACTCTTTTCTGGAACCTGCAACTTGCTACCTGATCTTTTGTAGTTAGCTGCAAACTTCACTACTTTAATACACTTACCAAAACCTGTTCCAGCGAAAAATACTATACTCTTTTCTTGCTTTTGAATGTAATATTTTGTATATACGTTGGTGCATTGAACTAACCTTCTTGTTACCTCACTGTTCTGATAGAATAAAAACAGCATCCATCGAGAAACACTCTCTGATACTTGCATAGGATTAAATGTCCGTGTTTATTGTATTTCACCATATCAAATAAACCTTCAATAAATATAAATCATGGATATAATAAATTATAAAAAGTCATTTTGCATGATGTGCCGTGTAGTGCAGAATCACATCTTTATTGATGCATGCATGTAAACCATTGTTTTGCGTATAATGCACCTCTTTCCTACAATTATCACACTGCAGACAATGCGGCACACGAGTGAACTGAATAGACTTAGTGGCAGGATGCCAACGTTTTAAATGAACTCTTGCACCGGCCAAGGCCCATTCAAATATGTGATGGTAAAGAAACGTTTCAGTGCGCTTACTCGGACTGAGAGACAATTGATGCAAAAACGTATCACCCATACTTTCTAATTAAAAAGCCATCCATTCGTTGAAGAATTTGGGGATTTATTAACTTATACAAAAGCTTAGTCATCCGGAAGATTACATGGTTAAAATGTCCACTTTTACAGGCACATATAATTAAATCATAACCTGATGCTTTAAAATATGTATAACTACAGTATATAGCAATTCTATCAATACAGTGCTGTGATTTTATTACAACAAGTCCATCCAAACTGGACTCAACTCTGTCTGCTTAAGAACATCATGTGGAATTCAGAATGCCTGAAAACACATCTACGGCTCCAGTTGTATAGCTCTTACTATTAAGTACATGACAACTAAGCCAACTCTGAATTCTGATTAAGATCATTGATATGGTTGAAAGCCCCAGAATAGCAAATAAATCCACCTTAAACAAAGATTATTTTTTCTCAACTAAACTGCATTTAATATGACCAAGCTGAAATAAGTTGTATGTCAATAGCAACATTAGCTTTCATTGTGAGTAATCTTTCTCTCTACCTGGCAAATGTAGCTCTGTTTTTGCTCTCTACCATCTCTTGAGGGAAATGTCTGACTCCTTAACTGCTAAATGCCTCAATATGTTCACCAGCTAGGCACTTACTGTGTCAGTCTGCTGTTTGATGCTGAGCAGGTAGTATAGTTTGTGAGCTTTAAGACCTTTTGTTCTAAACTAAAAAAAAACTCTGCCTGCCGTGGCCAAAAGGATGCTGAGACAGTGAAACAATGAGCTGACACTGACTATAAAGTTATGTGAAGCAAGGTTGCTACATTTTTTTAATATACATAGCTACAAATCTTTGCATTTTAACGTCACCAATATTTTCTACATTTGATGGACATTTATTGTATAAGAGCCACTTTAAAGCATTGGTAACAGCCGTTGCATTGTGTTACCTAAACATGTTCTCGATGCTATTAAATGCAGCTCCAGTTTCACCAAAGAGGTGGCAACACTGCAAGTCTTTTGTCATGTCTAAATGTCTACAGTAATAATAGCATTGTAACTCTATAGCGGCACACTGAGATCTGTTAAAAGCGTGAACACCAGATACAGCACGCTGTCTGTGTACACGCTCGGATAACTTTGGCTCCAGGGGAACACCAGTCAGCAGGATAAATGACTTTGGCAAAAAGATTCATTACTCCGCATTCATAATTGACTATTACAGAATATGCTATTAAACACCATACAGAAAAGCATTCACATTTTCTTCTACATATGTTTGTCAACTGAAAGCTATTAATTCTACTCTGGGTGTTATTCATCTCAGTTACAGCTCAGATGTTGTGGGTTAGAATATTCTTCTGGGCTTTTCGTAGAATTTCAAGTGCTTCGTTTTTCTGTAAATATTTACTGTTGATATCTCGAACCAGCCCAACAACTATATTTCAACACAAATCGATATCTTACCTTGCCTTTATCCCTCATGGACCCTTTGCCGAGGATTGACATCTTGACTCCCGTCTCCTCCTGTAGTCGTTTCATGGAATTTCCCCGTGGTCCCAGCAACTTTCCGACAAAATTAAACTGTGACACAGGAGGAAAAAAAGCAATCAGACGCCTTATCAACGCTTCCAACATTATGTGTAGAAAGACGACAAAATGGAAAATACATGTTTTTCTGAAGACGGTCTTTATGTGTCGGAAGCTAAAGGAATTTAATACATTCGTGAAAAGGTTAACCATAAAAGAAGTCGGCTGCATGACCATTACTCAACTTTTATCAATATAATTTCCCATTCCAGTCGCCATTTATCATGCGAGAAAAATCTGTAGCCTATGATAAATCAATAGAAATGTGCTCTGTGTGTAGCACATTAAAATGGGAGTGGGACTCGTATGCACCCACCCATTTGCTTGAACTGTGCCCTGGCTGGTCGTGTATTTAATAAGTGTTTAGGGTCATCTATGTCGTGCAGAGAAAACGAGAAAAGGAAACATGGGCTCAAACCAATAACATTCCTGAGACTGTTCCAGAGGTCAGTGCTGAGATAAAGTCAGTAATAATGACTTTCTTCCCAATGGGAAATTAAGTAATACTATCCAGATGACAAACTATCAGATTCAGGCCTCGGGGCTCTGACTATCATTCCCCTCTCGCTGTGCCCCAGCTAGTGTTCACATTGAGAGAAGTAGCTCTGGGTGGTTGAAGACGCAACAATGCTAAGATTAGCGGTAATTAATCTGAGAGATGAGACTCACATCTGAAGTCAAATGGGTAGTTTCTGAACAAAATACGAGCAAAAGATCAATTAAGCAACACGATATTTTTTAAATACGGCCATAAAAGTTACGTGTACCAGCTCACACACTCTTTTTTTTGTATTATTGTGAATGGTTTGACCTTGAAATGTTAGCTTCTAGATGAGATGATAAGAGCCCACCTCCCAGGCTGAACAGGTGGTCAGCCGCCCACCACAACACACTGGCCAACCCTAAAATGATATTAACCTTTTCACGAAGCGGCTTCTCCCACTGTGGCTGGCTGGATAATAACTTTAGTGCCAGCTGTGTGGCTGCTGCAAGACAACTCCGACAACTGCACACTCAGCTCATTTCATGAACATCATTAACATCAAGAGTGAGCGCTACATCTCAGGTTAGGGAGCCGCCTGGGGACGCGGAGATGAGAGCATCTTCTAAAAAAAGAGAAAGAAGAGTCCCTACTGTCCTTGGCTGTCCTCTGATCTGAATGATTAAGGCACCTACATGGATGCCTTTCTTCACAGGGGTTGCTTTGACAGGACTATCCTATAGCTGACAGGGAGCTTGAGAGCAGATGGTCGCTGCAGCTAAGTCGAGAATGCGCACTGGGCGGTAGAAGAAGAGTGGCCTGTTTTCATTAAGCTAATGAATGTCTGGAGCCACTCTGCTGCTCCATGGCGAGCGATTTAGGCTTCAGAAAGGGGCATGGTTCGGTGTTAAATGAGGTTTGAAATGATGCAATGTGCTCCCCGCAGGCTCGACACTGATAACTATGCAGATATTAGATGGAAGTGTGTTGGTGGATACAACAATTACCCACAAAGACATTTGAGACATTGAGCAAAAAGTGATGAAAGTTAATTTGATCTTCTTATTTGTACTTCTAAAAGTGTCATTTCTGCATGAAGGATAAACAGTTAGTTGAGAACTTGTGTGCAAGATAAATTCTAATGTATTAATCTCCATATTCATACTGAAAAGTAATTTTAATGAAGTTCTTTGTTCAAGTCTACAGAGCTTTGAGCAGGAGGTGAAGGTTGAGTCACGTCACACTAATGTAAATCTGCAAACCTGCTAATTCATCTGAGCAAAAGACTTTCCACAAGACCCTCAGTGAATGAGGACTGTTGTATGTTGGTGTTTTGAAGAAGATTATGATCTTTGAAAATCTCACAATGGACAGGTATCATGGCCTTAAGAGCTCAATGCATTGCAACATAATAAAACATCTGCAAATGGACAAGAATTCATTCCCCATTTTGACTGAAAATATCCACCGTGATGAACCCAAAGCAAATACAGAAAACACAACCAGATACAAAAACCCTAGCCAAATACAGCCCTGCATATACAGAAAATGAAAGCAGTTATTTCCATAAAACCATTCATGCTCACACCTACGGGCAATTTAGAGCTGCCGATTAAATAATCTGCAAGCATTTTCATTTATTCTATTTATTTATTCTTTATTTACTTTAATAATTTTGTGCTGGAGTCAGGTTTCCTAAATGACATTGGTTTAAAACATCACATACTGTAAAGCAAGTCTGCACATTTGCACATTTGGAGGCGTATGGCGCAGTGGATAGAGCCTTGGTGTTGGGATCAGGGGATCACAGGTTCAAACCCCACTGCAGTCAGCATGTTGTTGTGTCCCTGGGCAAGACACTTCACCCCTAAATGCTCCTGTGGGGATTGTCCACAGTATTGAGTATGTAAGTCGCTTTGGATAAAAGCGTCTAGCATGTAATAATAATAATAATGTAATATTCACAAGTTAGGGTTATTTTATAGGTCATTGTTGGTATTCTCCGTATACTGCACATTTTCTCTAACTCTGATTGAGACTTTTTGAAGCACACAGACTTATCGTTTTCTTTTGAACCTGTGATACCTCACAACAGCCCTGAGCGGGACCTTTTTAATATTCATTAAGACTTTGGCGAGTAAAGTCTGGCAACACTGTATGGCTTATCTTATACATTATGTAAAACAATATAACCACTGCTGTCTAAGAGTTGATTTATTTATTTGTTGAAAGAAGCCCTGTTTCTGCTGCAGGCTTAAGCATTCTATCTTTATTTCATACCACGTCACTGCAGTGCCCTACAAGCCCTGATATCTCTGTAAACACACAGGAGCATCCCAGCCGGGTGTCGGAGCAGCCCACAAGAATATTTTTCCATACACTAAAAATAATGATACTTGGTTATATTTTACACTCTTATGACCCTGATTCTTTAACGCTAATTTTAAAGTAACACTAGATGTGAAAAGAAAGGCCTAAGGAAGCCGCAACAATGCTAAGATAAGTGGTATCTAATCTGAGAGGTGAAACTCACATCTGAAGTCAAATGGGTAGTTTCTGAACAAAATATGATTAGGAAACAACACTTTTGTACTACTTAAAATACGACCATAAAAGTCACATGTGCAAGCTTTTTTTGAATAATTGTGAATGGTTTGACACACAATAAAAAGCCTAAGGAAGCAGTCACATAAATAGAAACTAAGAAACCTTGGGAAGATTTTAACTTTATAACCAGCCCGTGTCTCTGCTGTAGTATAAAGTCAGTTCCCTAGAAAGCGAAAACTATTGAATCAGGAACCTAAACTTCTTCAAGGTGCTGCAGATCTAATAAGACAAAAACCTTTTTCGGCTTAAGGTCTAAAAATGTGCGTGGTTGCCTCCCTGTAATGCATTGCAGCGGGGCCAGGCAAGATTTGCAGATGTCCGAAGGCACTTTCTGCCAGAGTTGCGAGTTGTGCAATTGGGGAAGTCCAGGTCCGGTCTGATAGGAGGATTAAAGCCTCAGGTAGAGGTTTAGGCTATAATGACAGCTCTGGATGACTGGGCAGCGAGCGTGTCCTCGGACCGTGTCCTCTCGGCTCCGCAGACATTAGAGGAAGCAGGAGGGAGGGGATTTACTGCTCACCTGGTTCACTGATAAAGGTTTAAAGACAGGGATACCAAACTTGCTGTACATGGGTGCCACTTTTAAATATATATAAGCAATAAAGTCCCAGAACGTATCTTTCTTTGAAATGATTACATTTAAAATGATATGACTTGAGTCCTATGGCAAATTCATTACTGCATTTCATAACTGTAACGGCATTTTAGATCTGGTTGGGTAACTTTTGAAAGAGCTTAAAAAACATTAAACATAGCTGGAATTAATGATTATTTATTAAGCATAAACGGCCCAAACCAGGGACCGAATAGATTGCATAGTTAAGCTCTTTTCATGGCAAATACACATTTATGGGATTGGAATGATCATAATTGGTCTCTATCTTCTGCTCCTAATAGTTGTCCTCCCAGACTTTTTCCTCCCTTAATACTTTGATAAACAATCTCTACACGTCTTTTTTAATGTTTTTTTAATGCACTCTGGCCCCTTATTTCAATTAAAGTACAGACATGTATTTTTTAAATCAATTTACTATGCAATGTGAATTAGGAGATTGATTGGTAGGCCACTCAGCACCCTATCTAAAAAGCGAAGTTAAGCATCACTGAGGTGTGACTTTAAAACTGTTGACTTTGTTGAGGGTGTTTTCTCTGGTGAAAATATGACTCAAACCTATTTTCGCACACCGTACTGTATGTTCTAAATCTTCACAGTTGCTATACATTTCACAGCAAGATGAGAGTAAACCAGTTCAAATAAAAAAAAAAAAGTATAATTGTCTGTTCATTTGCAGAGGATATCAAACCTAGATCTTCCCAGCCTACCCGACATCTTCAGCTAACAGGAGCAGAGTTTTCTGGTAAAACTGTAACAACTCCCATTAATACGTGTAAACCCTGAACAGTCACCCAGATGGATTCACACACAGAGTAAACAAATATCAGGATCCCTGTATATTTTAACAGGTGACAAACGCCTTCAGCCAAGATCAATACAGACGAGCAGCCATCTATGCCAAAGTTCTGAGAAGCTACACAAGCTGTTTAAGACCATGAAACTGTTCCAGGCAAGCTGTGTTCTGCTGTCAGAGCAGCAGATACATAGCTTTTCAAAAGAGCCTTCGTTAGTCATTTAAAACTACGGCTTTTAAATGACTAACGACAAACACCATTTATTTTTTCTAAATTGAATCTCATCCACTTCTGTAACAGAGAGCCAGAGCTTTACAAATCCTGCTCAAAATGCAACAACAGTGAATTTCACTCTTTCTTTGCTGTAAAGTATTCTATCCATAATGAGACTAGATACCATTGTTATCTTAATAAATGGCAAATGTGTTTTTTGTTTTAACGCTGCATTTCAGGTAATTGTTGTCTTTTTCTGAACGTTGCTTTACTCAGTTTGTTA